GCCTGGAGAGGAGATGACTGAGAGGTGATATCATAACCATCTTCAAGTACTTGAAGGGTTGTCATATAGAGGATGGTGTGGAGTTGTCACTGTGGGTGTGGAGGGGGAGGTGTTTGTGAGTTTCCTGTCTTGTGCAGGGGGTTGGACTAGATGACCTTGGAGGTCCCTTCCAACTCTATCATTCTATGAGTCTATGATTCTATGCTTGTGAGGCCTGTGCAAAATTTATACAACATCAAAATGTCATGGGTTTTGGCATGTTAGAAGAATAGCCAGTATGCCTTGCCTATTATTCTGTATGATTTGGACCACTGGGAAACTCTGTTGGACATAATGTAGAGTAAATCTATCAGGAATTCAAATCATACAGCCCTTGTGCTTGACTAAAAGGAGCCATATTTTGAATTAATATTTTTAAAAGGAGCCATATTTTGAATTAAGCAAGAGATGAAAGATAACAATATTATCCCTGTCCACTGACTTGTTCCTATGGGAATCAAAATACAGGCAATGAGACCCTTTAATCCGTTCCCCTACCGAATGAAACAAGAAACAGAAATTCTGACAGAGCCCTCCTTATCCCCCCCCACCTAATACTTCTATATCTACCCCAAAACAAAGCCTTGTGACACCTTAAAATATTTCTGCTTGTATCTAATAAAGTAAACTCAAGCCTACTAAAGCTTATGCTACTATGAATGTCTTTAAGATGCTACATTACTCTTGTTTTTACTGTGACAGATTAGCACAACTACCCCACTGGAATATTTATGGCTGGATACAGGCCTGGTCTAGTGCAACAGAATGAGACAGAAATGATGTGATAACACTCTTTAGTGACAGAGTAGAGCAAAAAAAAATTGACAGATCTAAATACACTGTGTAAAAAAATATCCCTCAGATGGAAAAAACTGCACACTAAGGAGTGCCCATTCCCCCCTTGGAGTGCTATTTTTTTTTATTATTTACAGGGACCTTTTAAATTTGGGGATAATATGAATTGGCAACCTTCACCTGACTCCTGAAGTACCATCCACTCCACCACTTCAGGATTTTACCCTCTTCTTTTGCTGTGTGGGTAGACCAAGCCTGTGTCATCAAATAAGAAATGAGCCACTGAGTGCAGAAAGTAGAGCATTTTTCTGTGGTTCATGCTGAGGACAGTAGGTTTAAAAAGCCCTTTGCCAGAGACTCATACTGGCAAAGGCATACTGGGCTCTGAGAAGCCCTGGGGAAGGGAGCCTGATCTCCCAGGCTGCCAGCTGCCTTAGAAGGGAAGGAAAGCGCTGCGAGGTTCTTGGCTCCTTGTCCTCTGTTTGCTCCACTCGGCTGTCTCCTTGAATCAGCAGCAGCAGCAGCAGGCTTTCTTATTTCTTTTTTGGCAAGGACTTATTAATGCAAAGATAGAAGAAGGATTGATGAGCACAGACTTGTTCAGTTTGTAGTGTGAGGGGAGAAGTGTAAGGCAACCTCAATCAGCTTTTTACAGATGCAGCCTCAAGAGGACAGGAAAAGCAGATGCAGCACAGAGAACTCGTTTTCCAGTCTGTCGTCTGACACCAGCCACCCAAGGACTGTGCTCAAAGCACAAACAAAAGGAGCTGCACTTTCTCCACAAGGGCCTGCCTTCCAAAGATAAAGGAGGATGGAGTGCAAGACGAGGTGAAGAGAGAGGGAGCCACTGAGATATGCAGAAGGAAGAACGCAATTTAGGATATCTTGCTGAGAGGAGAAAAAGAAGCCAGAGCAGAGCATCCATTTTGCATCCATTTGATTTACCTGCCAAGAGATGTAGCTGGAGTAGAAATGCCCCTTTATGAATAGCATCCGTAAGCAGGAAGATAATCTGGGACGGCCTGCTGCTGGCTCACTGTGCTGCGGGGACCTGAGCAAGAAAATGAAAGGAACGGGATGCTTGAAGGTGATCTTTTGGATTCTTGGCAGGCAGCTCTTGCAGAGGGAATTGCAAGCCACTTATTGCCACTTCTTTCTCCTGTTTAACATGGTCCTGGTGGTTTTTTTTTTTTTTTTAAGAGTGCTCCAGTTTTCTGGATCTAACACACAGCAATTTTAGAAAGGGGCTAGCCTGCAAATGCTCTCTTCCTCCAGCAGCGGCCCAGACCCATCCCGCCAGCATTGCACAGTATTCTTTTGTAGCAACCAAGGTATCAATAGCAGCAGAAATATGGTGATTCAGAAAACTAAGCCCAGCCTCAGTGCTTCTTTGTGTCTTATTGTGGTCAGGCCATGAGAGACTAAGCCACCCCAGGAGGGAGTGTCCTTCAAATCTATGCTCTTCCAGGTCAGGAACTTGGGGCTGTTTCAGGTCAGGAACACGGCTTAGTGAGGGAAGGGCTTAAATGCCCCCTTCCCTTGCACCATGGTGTCAGCTATGCTGCTGTCGCCTTCACGGAAGGTGACAAAGCAGTGATAGACGCAGAAGGGGACTTCGAACTGAGAGCTAATGACTGCTGGTACCGCGGCCACAAACTGTTTGTGCCCCTCTCCCTTGGGGGGGGGGAGTTTAGCAAGCTGTGCACGGCTCTAAGTTATCGGGACATTCTGGATTCGTAAAGTCCCTGCAGCTTCTGCAGCAACCATTCTGGTGGCCGCAAATGCGGAAGGATTTGTCGTCATTTGTCAAGTCGTGCCAAGTCTGTGCCATGAGTAAACCCCGGCCGGGGAAAGCCCCGAGCTTGCTGCCACCACACCCAACGCCTTGCAGGCCTTGGGAGGTGATTTCCATTGACTTTATTACGGACCTCACTCCCAGTAAATCTATGACTGTCATTTGGGTGGTTGTGGACTTATTTTCTAAACAGGCTCACTTTGTCCCGTATACGTCCGTGCCCACGGCAAAGGCCCTGGCCAAAGCCTTCATGTTGCACATGGTCCAACTGCATATACTCCCAGCCAAGGTGATATCCGACAGGGGGCCCCAATTTGTTTCCTGGTTTTGGGGGGAGCTTCTGAAACTCATGGGAGTTGAACGGGCCATGAGCAGTGCTTACCACCCAAAGACTGATGGACAAACGGAATGGGTTAATCAGACGTTGGAACAATATCTTTGCTGTTTCACCAATTATCAACAAGATGATTGGGTGGACTTGCTTCCCCTAGCTGAATTTTGTTACAACAACACGTGCCACTCGTCCACTGGACTGTCCCCATTTAAAGCTTTATATGGCTACGACAGTCCCCCAGTGCCCTTTTTGGAGGGGCCAAGTGACTTGGGGTCCGGGGATGCCGCTCACTGGTGCCAACGTTTGAAAGACTCGTGGCCACTCCTTTGTAAGACGTAGAATGCGGCTAAGGAGGCTTACAAGACTCAGGCTGACAAGAGAAGGGTGGAGGGTTGGGCTCTGCAGCCTGGGGATTCAGTGTATGTGTCAACTAAAAATATTAAAGTCTTGCGTCCTAGTCGGAAACTGGGGTGGAAATACCTTGGTCCCTTCAAGATGAAAAGAGTGATTAATGATGTGGCAGTGGATCTCGATCTTCCTAAGAATTTGAGGAATTTGCATTCTGTGTTTCATTTCAGCCTCCTGAAACGGGATTCTGGGTTGAGCCCCTGGTGGCCATCACATCCTGTACCCCCTCCATTTATGCTGGAGGGAGAGGAACATTATAAAATCTCCAAGATATTGGACTCTAAAGTGAAACGTGGTCGATTGTTGTATCTGGGGAATGGCTTAATTTCGGACCCCAGCACCTCAAATGGGTAGAAGTAGGGGATATTCGGGCCCCTAAGCTGTTGCGGAAATTCCACAGGGAGTTCCCGGACAAACCGGGACCTCTCCCGGACTGACCGGGAGATCTCCCGGGCTGGGCAGAAGAAGCTGAGTTTTGAGGGGGCAGAATGTCAGCTATGCTGCCATGATTGAGGGGGGTTAATTCTCTTCCTCTTGGGGCCAGATGCTGCTTCTTTACATTTGCTTCTGTACTGCTTGCTTATCAATGACCTTGCAGGTTGCTGGTGTAGTGTCTGGGATGCCTGGAACCGTGGGAGCGCTTTCGGTTCCCAGCTGCGGCCTCTAACGGCCAATGTTCCCTCTAAGTGGTAGAGTCTTGTGAGCAGAATTTCTACTTTGAGAGCTACTAGCATTAAAGTTGTGAGCGAGTGAATTGGCTACTGCATAAATTAGTTTGCTCTGGAGCCGTCCTTCCTGAGCTAAGACAAAAATGTGTGAGCTGGAGGCTAAAAAACTGTGAGCTAGCTCACACTAACTCAGCTTAGAGGGAACACTGCTAACGGCCTGGGGACCCTTCTCCTGCGCACGGGAGCCTGGCTAATTAGCTTATGGAAAGGGGGGGTGCATACGAATACCCTATATCCCATTATGCTTGTAGGACCATTGCCATTCTTAACAGTGACAATGCCTCTATAGCTCTGCAATAAAGTATAACCTTTCTGAGAAACGTGTACTCTGTTGTTGGCTGTGGAACCTGACACATGGTTCCCAATATGCCTGTTACTAGAAGAAAAAACATCCTCTTTTACAATCATTCTGGTTTGCCTCTTCAGCCATTTTCTGGCTACTGTCCCTACCTGCATTTTTAAAGGTGAGTCATGAGTATGATGTAAGAAAAGGTGCTTAGATTATCAGACTTTAAAAATCTGTCTTGTTAAATGTTCTATGTACCTCCTAGAACACTGCTAGTACTAATAAATGTTAAATGGTGACAGAATTATTAAAATGCCTGAATAGGAAAGGTATTGGCTGAAGATGACTTTCTTCCATAAATCAAGGAATGACCTTGTTGAACATTGAAAATCAATCACTTGAAACCTTGGACTTATGCTTATATCCTTGCTACATAACCATTTATTGGTGATGTTTATTTTCCAAATGATCATTCTACATTTAAACAAACCATTGACAGACATATACATTCATTTCCTTCCTCTTATCTTGAAGACACAGATAGGATAAATATTTTCTCAGGAGCTTCCTGGTTGAAAACCTGTAGAGTTTTCAAATGAATTCCAGAATTGTTCTTTAAACCAATGTCGAACACAGCCACTAGGAAAGAAAGAGCAAACAGAGGCCATCAGCTCAACAATATTCACCAACAGTGCCAGTGTAGTATTTTCTATAATGGTTGGCAGAGCTTCTGTTACAATCTGGATGCAAACCAGGATTTAGTGATCTGGACTTTGGAGGCTCTTTTTTAGGGATTCTAGCTGAACATCTGAAGGTTCAAGGACATTCTGGGTAGGATGTGGCAGATGCAGCGGCCTTTTGGCCCCTTTGTATGCCCTATCACATTGAGGTCATGAAATATCTATGATTTGTACTCCTTTCCATGCAGACTGGATCCTCCCACCACCCCAATTTCAAACTACCTAATGGAGGAATATGATGGAGAAGGCTTGATTTGAGCTAGGAGAATTGTGCCTATCATGTTTTTGTTCACTTCTATCAAGGAGGTCAGATTGTTGTACATGGTTCTTCATTCCCAATTTTATCCTTACAGACACCTTGCAAGAAAGGTTGGGATGAAAGTAACTGGCCCAAGATAACCCAATGAGCTTTCATGGCTGAAATGGGATTTGAACATGGGTCTCTTGCATTTTAACCACTACATCACAATGGGTCTCCTTGCATGACGATCAACCCATTATGCCCAGCCATGTGTGAATGGTAGCATCCAAGTCTTTCATATAGCTTTCCTGGCAAGAATCAGCCTTCTCCATGCCCCAACTCCAGTAAGTAGTATGAACTTGGAGTGAGGGGTGGTGAGGATATGATACAAACTGGAAAGTTTGAAGGCATCCAGGTTCAAAAGCACCCCTAATAATAAACTTATTTCCCACAATTAATTATACATCTGATCAAGGGAGAGGTTATCCATCCCTAGCCATTGGAATTTCTTCTCTCACTTCAACACATGTGTCCTATTTCACAGAAGGTAATGCTACTAGACTTAAAACATACTGCATTGTAAATAACATTAAAAGTCTACCAGTTTGCAAAATGGAATAATATATCAAACTACACTTTCCACATAGCATTAAATAAAACAGAATGCCATTTCCCTCTGACATCTCTTATGGATGTGCCTTTCAATGAAATCTCACAGCAGGGCTCTTAGCTATTCCTCTGACTGTAGGTAATGTATTTCCTGCATGCCCTGACACCTTTTGTATACTTTTAAGAGTATGAATGCTACCAACAAAGGACACAGAATCATAAAATTCAAATCCCAGCCTGTCAGGTCACTTATTTTACCCCTGTCTGCAGGGAAAAAAGTTTCCTACTGTGTATTTTCTATCGCTCTGACTCACTTCCTTTGAAAGAGGACAGGGAAGGATTATCATAAAAGAAAAATATATATATAAAGGTGTTCAGGAAATCTCCTTCATTCCTTATAAAAAGGATCATTTTCCAGATAATATTTGTTTCTTGATGAATTTGGCACTATTTGTCAGGAACGTTACTCTGAGTATAAAATTTAAAGTCTAATCATAAACATTTTTACTCAGAAGGCCCACAGATGCCTGTGAATCAACCGAACCTGTACAGAAGCCTCCAGCTGACTGCAGCAGCTCTGTGGGTCCTGGCCACTGTAAGAGCCAGCCATGGAATCGCCTATGTATTCTTTGGCTTCACCTATAGGTTCCTCATACAGCAGACAGGAGGTAGCAGTAGAGAGACTGCATTTTATCCCCACTCCACCCCATAAATAGTACTACTGCTGCTGCAGCCTTGTTGTTTTTAATTTAACTTTAAGGTTGTTGAGTCATTTGTTTTATGGTGACAGTCTGGGTTATGATATAAAAAAGTTTAATTTTGCATTGCATTTTTATGAGAATTGTTTTAACTCCTGTAATTTTTGATTTTAATATATTTTATCGCCTGCAGGCATGTTGTTAGTTGCCTTGGTTAGCATATGGCTTTTGTGCACCATTATAAGGACGGACTGAGCGAGCCTTGGCTCTTCAGAGTAAAGTGGGATACCAAATGCTTTAATAAGTAAAAGAAATGTATATTAACTAGTCAGCATGTGTTTAATTTAAAATTCTATGCTGATAAAACCAGTTTACTCGTAATTCTACATGATGCTTCCAAGCAGGGCTGTTTTTTATTTTATTTTATTTTATTTTATTTTAAAAAGAGGGGCCGGCACTCTCAAGAGGGAAATGAAGTCTTCAATCTGTATACTGAAAACTCATGAATTTTAAAACATTTTAAAAAGAATTTTGTCAAAGAGGTTCTGGAACTTCATTCTGGCGCATTCCCCCAGAAAAAAAGCCCTGCTTCCAAGTATATGCCAATCAACTATTACAATAGGTGATATCTAAACCATAGAGAAGGATTCTTCATCATTGAACGCTAAACTCAGGCTTCAGCAGATCTCCCAGCTGGTTCTAAAGTATTAGTGACTGCATTGAAGTATTATTACCTGGCTGTCACAATTTAACCATATAATACTTGTATTTAATAGTTATTACCTCAGCCAGAGTGAGCTGGACAACTCCCCGGTTATCCTTGTCTAAGATCTGAAACATTTCTTAATGGAAAAAGAACAGCAGATGTTATAATTAAACAGTAATGTTAGATATGTCTCAAAACTTGGGAATGGGGCAAGGGGGTATGTCTGTTTTATTCAAATCTGAATTTAGGTCGCTCCTTCTGAGCAGTGTTGTCCAAGGAGACTTATGGAATGGCCACAGTCCCATTTCCACTAATGAATGGAATACCGTATTTTCCTGCGTATAAGACTACTTTTTAACCCAGGGAAATCTTCTCAGAAGTGGGGGGTCGTCTTATACGCCGGTACGCCAGAAGCATCAGCACAGCTCTATATTTTCACTGGAAAACTCTATATTTTAACTGGAAAAGTTGGGGGTCGTCTTATACGCCCAGTCGTCGTATACGCCGGAAAATACGGTACTTTTTATGTGACTGGGCATTTCCCATTGCAAACCACAAGCACTTTTTTGTTTTTCAGAAAGTAAGATACCAGAGACTCTCTAGAACTCTCCAGCACAAAGAACAAGACCATCCATATCCTCCTGTAATCAACCCATACCAGTGTGTGACGGCCAGACAGCAGGTTCACTTCACAGTTGAATGACCAGAGCAAATGAGTTCAGATGAGCCAAGCAATAGACAGGAATGTAAACCCACGAACACAGGAAGCTCCCTTATACAGAGTCAGACCACTGCAGGATCTAACAGGATTGTTTGCCCTGATGGTCAGTGGCTCTCTAGGGTCTCAGGCAGAAGTTTTTCACATCACCTACTATCTCCCTAGGTTTCTCCCAATGGCTCTACAGAAAGTGGCCTGAGGGGGAGGAGAATGTTCCTGATCTCAAAATGGAAATTAAGCAAACCTCAAGCATAAGCAAAATGATCCACTGAACGTTCCAAGTGAAAAGCTTCTGAATTGGAAGTCAGTGTATACATGGGGTTCAATTCAGAGCTGTATAATGGCTCATGTTTTCCCAGCATTCTCCAGAGCTCTCTAAAGTAGCATTCAGAATCATTTCAATGGACTGATCACCAGATTCATCTTCATTTGCAAGCATTACATTGTATATTAAAATGTTTCCACTTATTGTTATGGACAGGTCCTGAATGTTATGTTTTCTCAAAGTGGCCTCAAAATGTTTCTCCACAGACATCATTCCACTCTTAGTGGACCACAAACCCCAACCAACAGATCATCATTGCAATTTCTGAGTCAGACCTAGAACAACCTCACTGCCAAACAAGGTCAGTCTCCTTTCATCCTTTTCTGAAAACCGACAGTTATATACCCTACCACTGAAGAGCACCCAGAAATGGAAGAAGATGAACAAATGGCAGGGCATTGCTCTGGTGGGGGTGGTAAGACTGGGGTATGGTAGCCTTGCTGGTGTTCACCACATCAAAGGGTTAGAGGAATGCTGCCAGTGGAAAAGTGGTACAGAATGATCACATTTTTAAAATGTCCAAATGTAAAGTACTGGGTTTGCTGCATGGAGGACTTGGACGACGACATGCTTTTGCACACGTTTATTGTACTTCACTCCAACTAAGACTAACTCTAACGGCCCAACAGGGCCAGCTATATACATATCCACCCAGCACCCCCCATTCCCATTGGAGGGTTTGAATGTCCCGCCAAGTGGCTATTGGTTGGGGCTGGGGGAAACCAGGATCCAAAGTCTCCTTTGTTCCAGGAGCCAAGCTCCTGCATGTGCCGCAGACCCCTGGTGGCGGTCCATGTACATAACACCAAAACCTTTAAGAGTGTAAAGTAGGGTGGGTGTTAAGTATGCAACTAAACAACGAAGTAAGTAACAAGTGATTCAGATTTATTGAGAACAAGAACTTCCAAAAGATCATACAACATCAGACAACACAATGACAATAGTGGAGCATAGCCTCCTTTTAAACTCTCCCGGGCTGGGGTAGCCACGCCCTAGCATACTTAACATCCAATCATCATTCAGAGATAACATCCAATCAATACAGTTCCCTCCAGCACAGTTCTCTTACATTTGATTGGTTACAATAATGCTTCAGCCAATGGTATTGTTACAGCTTAGAATCCTGGCTGAGGTTTCAAGCTTAACATGTATTTAGATACGAAGACACAACAGTGGGCATAAGAGGCGGAAGGTTTGTATGACTGGAATTGTCACATGCTGTATCTGGCAGACACCTGTAAACTCTGCGCATAACCTTTCCCACAGCACTATCTGCACTACATTGCAGAAAAGTCAGATTGTCCCACAGATTCATCATTATGTATGTATTTATTTAGAAAATTAACATTCTACCTAGCAGGGGTCTTGTTGTAGAAAAAGAGCTGCCGGAGCTCATTAGCATAACTCATTAGCATAACTTATTTGCATATGCCACGCCCCCTGACATCACCGGAAGTGACAGAAGGCCACACCCCCTGACATCACCGGAAGTGTGTCAGAAGGCCCGGCTACTTACCCTCCTGCTTCATCCTCATTCCCAAACGGAATGAGGATCGAAGCAGAGGGCGGGGTAAAGAAGGGGGCGGGGCTTCACCACGTGACCGCCCCGCCCCCTAGAGGTTCTCTTCCGGAGCTCCGTACCTGAGAGCTCCCCCCCGACTAGAGCCCTGCTACCTAGAGACATTACTTTCCCTGTGGGTAACTGCAGAGGGTGTGCACAGCAAGGCAGCAATCACATTCTAGATGTTTAGTCGAGGGCACAAACAGACTGTCCAGGGATGGCACTGGACTCCAAGTCACCTCTGCTGGTGAGGCTGCCCATCCTTAGGGCAGCCCCAAGGAGGCATCAGTACCAGCAGCCACGGAGAAGGCGGGGCCAGGAGGAGTCATCCAAGCCCAGGCAGGCCCAGCAGCAGCCCAGGCCACTGAGGCCAGCAGAGGGACAGGCCCAGAGGATCTACAGCCCATCCCAGCCAGCCCCAGGGACAGATGATTGCAGGAGGGAGAGCTGGCAGCCTTGCAGGGAGGACAGAGCCATCAGCACTCTCCAGGAAGAGGCCTAGGGGGTATCTAGGGAGGCAGGCATTAGCAGATGGTAGAGAAGGGTGGGGCTAGACAGCATCTTTAAAAAAGGCTTATGGAAGAGGCCAAAGAAGGACAGGCACAGCTCCAGGCTGCTCAAGACGTTGTCTGGCGAGGAGGAAGGAGAAGGAACCAGGTGACACAACCCCCTTCCCTTCCCATTTTGAGGCCTGGGGATGCCCACTAGTAGGGTTGCCAGGTCTGGGTTGGAAAATACCTGGAGACTTTGGGGGTGGATGCGGGAGAGGGCGGGGTTTGGAGAGGGGCCTCAGCATGGTACAATGCCAAAGTCCACCCTTCAAAAAAAGCCATTTTCTCCAGGGGAGCTGATCTCTGTCAGCTGGATATCAGTTGTAAAAGCGGGAGATCTCCAAGACCCACCTGGAGGCTGGCAACCCTACCCTACCCACTAGCAACATCTAGCAAGATGGAGAAAGGGGCCTGGAGAAAGGGGAGAGCACAACAAAGACGTAAGGATCCTCATAAGTCTCCACTTATCTGTAAAAGGCAAATTCTGCATGCGCACAAACTCACTTCAGATTGAGTCCTCACAGGCAGGGGAGAGAGAGGCTGTGGTCACACGGGAAGGTAATTCCACTTTGTTCCCGCTTTTTCTTCAGGTTGGGCTGATTAGATACAGCCGGCCCCTCTCTTCCACCACCCACTCGCCTGCTAGCTCCTATGGAAAATCGCTGTGCATTACCCGTGGTTTTTTTTTTAAAAAAAAAAAGCTTCCTGTTTGAGCGCTTGGGCAAGCATGTGCTTAATAAATCCATTATTAAATGTTATTTTATGTTTATTTCTCTGTTGAAAGATAATATGACAGCTCCAGCAAGCCACCTGCCTGACCAGCCCTGGAGGGGCAGGAAAAGGAAGACTGGCCGAGAGGGCTGCTGCACTCAGCTCGGCTTGTCGGGGCTGCAGCGGAGCCTCCACTGCGCCGAGTCCCTCCAGGCGATCCTGCCAGCCACGGGGCAGGCTCAGGCGACTGCTGCTCCTGCCACCACTGTGGCCGGTGGTGCTGCTGCCGCCGCCATTGCCCCATAAAAAAAGGCTCAGCCCCGCCGTCTCCAGCATCCTCCTTCCTGGGGAAGGGGCTTCTGTTTCTTACAACAAACTCATATTATCTTTAAACAGAGAAATGAACATAAAAATAATGTTTAATAATGGAGTTATTGGTTTCAGGTCTATGGCAGCATGCTGAGCAGTCGCACCTCCCGGACCTCCTGGGGGTGAAGCTGCGCTCTGGCCGAAGGAGGGGGTGCACAGGATCGTCACCCCCCCCAGAGACCCGACTGAAGGGGCTCTGGCCATGGGACTCTCGAGGGGTCGCCTATAGTTGAATCAGTTCATAATGGGATTAGCGTGATTGAGAGATAACGTATGCCAATCTAACTAGATTATCTCCTCTCTAGATGATCTCCTCTCTTGGGTTTTTAGATAGTAGTGGGTATCTTTTCTTTATCCCTTAATGTAGTCCCCTTCCCTATTTCTGTTGTAGTTTGTAGTCTTTATAAAAATGCAATAAAAAAATCCCCTCTGGGGGGCCAAAAATAAATAAATAATGGATTTATTAAGCGCATGTTTGCCCAAGCGCTCAAACCAGAAGCTTTAAAAAAAAAAAAACCACCCAAAACACCCAAAGAGCAGTCAGACGGCCCTAATCGCGATCATTGTGAAAGATGGCTGTCCAGATGGGCAAAATCGTGCATTCAAAGCGCAAGTGCCAGGAAAATACTTGATTTTCCAGGGGGCAGGAAAACCCGGAAGCATTGTGGGAGTGAGCCCGCTTCAGCGTGGGAGGTGGATTCACCTGTCTGATTAGCAAACTTAAATGCGGGAGGGAACAGCGGCGAACCCCAATCAAAAGGACCATGTGACCGCACCCAGAGTTTGACCTTTCAGTGCCCATATAGTTTCACTGATTGAAACTAGGCTTCCTGGCCTGTTAGCATTTTGAATGAGGAAAAAGACATGTCATGAACCACCACACTCCTCCCTGTGAGCCAGTTTGGTGTAGTGGTTAAGTGCGCGGACTCTAATATGGGAGAACCGGGTTTGATTTCCCACTCCTCCACTTGCACCTGGCTGGATGACCTTGGGCAAGCCATAGTTCTGTCAGAGCTGTTCTTGAAAAAGAGCAGTTTCTGTCAGAGCTATTTCAGCCCCACCTACTTCATAGGGTGTCTGTTGTGGGGAGGGGAAGGGAAAGGGATTGTAAGCCGCTCTGAGACACCTTTGGGTAGTGAAGGGCGGGGTATAAATCCAACCTCCTCCTCCTCCTCCTCCTCCTCCTCTTCTTCTTCTTCTTCTTCTTCTTCTTCTTCTTCTTATCTGTACACATACATACTTTGGTTCTTACAGACCAAAATCTGTGATCTCCATCACAACTGGTTGTGCCCTGAGTTTGTAAATCAGTCCCTTCAGCAGCTGCTGTGGGTTTGAATTTGGCCTAGCAAAAAAAAAACATTTTGTCTTGTGTAAGCCCTAAATCTAGTGTGCCAGATTTAGAGGCTGGCACATTTTGGAACTCATTCTGGCCTGAGACAAGAGATAGTTTGGCTACTTACTTCATTTTGGAAATTAGAGACATTTTGTCATGGCTTCCTGTCACTGACGCACAATTCTTTGTACTCAGGCTAAAAATACTGAAAACTCTTTTACATGTTAGCCAAACTGAAGGTGGGGGGGACACCTCAGCAGGGTTTTTTTTTTCCTTAGCTGCAGGCAAACTTACTGAAAAGAGTCTCCAGGCGAATCATGCAGGCCACAAAGCCATCAAAGTCAATGGTCAGCTTGCTGCAGGCGTAGCGGGTAGTGATACTGTCCTGGATCTTGTTATTCAGAGTGAAGCCTATGAGGAAAGAAAGCCAAGAATTAGCAAATGTCTGTGTGTCTGTGTGTGCTAATCCACCACCCTGTTTCATTTTGCCAGTTTAGCAGTGTTCTCAGCTGCAAACAGGCATGGATGAAGGATTCTGGCTATTTGTTCTGTCAGGTTTGCTGGTCTCTTATCTCTACAGGGCTTTCATTTCCTCAGTATCTATTGTTTTGAAGTGGGCACAGATCTAACTCTCCCTTACAATGCCTCCAAAAAAGTGACATATTTTATGCCAGTTCATAGGAGTTTCTCATTTCTATATTTGGAAGATAAACACCTAATTAGTGCAGCTTTAGTGCACTCCCAGGGCTCCAGCCAAATAGAATTCATTACAGCAGAGTCTTTTTCATGCAAAACACCATTCAGTCAATTTTTAGAGCTTTGTTTAGACACAGTCTGCAACCATATTTTGCTGGGCGAGATGGAGAAACACATTTGATGACAATCAGAGTTTGTTCATGTTGTCAGGATAATCAGCAACATAGGCAGTGGCTGTGGAATAGAACACACGTTTTGCCAGAGTTTAGTCCCTGGCATCTTGATTTTCAGGGATCCAGGTAGCAGGTACTAAAAAAGACCCTTATCTTCCCTAGACAGCCATTCCCAGTCAGAGTAGACAATACTGAGTTAAGCAGGCTAAGGGTCTGACTTGGTATGGGGAAGCGTCATCTGCTCACCTTCATTTTCCCTGGAAAGAACATACTTTTTCTGTACGTTCACTTGTTGCTTCTCTTATCATGGTTGCTACATTTTGCACTTAGAATTTCATGTAGCTTTCTGATGGTGCTACCCAAAGTTAATTCACTGGAGAGAAAGTGTTAGTTTTTGTGTTAATTAAGGCATTGAAGTAGCTTGTGTATTTTCCATTGGATGCATTCTGGCCCAGTTCAGACATAAGGCACCTTTGAAGATGGTTTGGAAATTTCACCTGGTTCCAAAATGCGCTGCCAGGCTATCAGCAGGAGCTGCATGCAGGGATTATGGACCTTCCTGTACACTGGACTAACTCCTGATTTTCTTGGCAGTTCATCCATTTGGGCACGGTTCTTCCACATGTCTGCCCTCCCCCTGCATTTTAACAGTTGTGGAGTCAGTTTATTTTCTTCCGCATGTGCCCTAAATAATCAGGATTTCTGAGTGATGTGCTGTTGTTTTTGGTGGCCTCACAACCGCCCCACCTTTTTTGCATGTGTTTATATTGAAATATCAATATTATGACTGCATTTTTATAATGTTGTAATGATACGCTTAGCAGGTACTCTGAATGCGTACCCTTCATTTAAAGAAAGTAAGTCTCTAGCTTGTCCCTAACAGAGATATAAGGAAAAAGGCATACCTCTACAAGGCAAAGGGCTAGAGATTTACTGTATTTAAATTAAAGCTGGTGATTCAGAACACCTGCTAACCCCCCCCCCTCTGTGTGTGTGTGTGTGTGTGTACACTTACATTGAAATAAAGAATGTATTTTTAATATAAAAACTGAAAACAAAACCACATCTTCAGGGCAGAGGAAGAAGAGGGAGTGGTTTGATGATGACGTCTAATAATCAAAAAGTGGGCTAGAGGTGAGTGGGCTGAACAAAGAAAACCAACAGAAACATTATGCAGAATAAAAAAGCCAACTCAAAATCAGCTTCCAGAAAAAGATCAGGGTAAAAGTGGTCTCACAAGAATTGGAGGTGGGGGGTGGGAACTGAAAAAAAACAAGAAGCTCTAAGTGAAAACTAAAGGCACAAAATGTGTGCAGAAATCGGGATAAACTGAAGCAGTATGGGGCCAGAACTGTAAAAAAAACCACACAGAAAAGTCCCGTATCACCCCTGTGCTGAAAGATTTGCACTGGCTGCCCATCCGTTTCTAGGCACTATTCAAATTGCTGACTCATACCTTTAAGGCCCTAAATGGCTTGGGGCCAAGGTACTTGAAAGACTGACTCCTCCAATACTATCCAATGCACCAGGTAAGATTCTTTCCC